ATGACGCCCCCCCCTACTGGAATAGACTCAAAAGTGTTAACGATTGCGAACGCCTCAACACTCGGATGACATGGCAATAAGTGCAGAAGCAAGAAAGGATTGAGTCAGATTAGCGTTAACGCGACCGATTCATAGAAAGGACGCGAGAACAACGGCGGTACTCGATGCGACGACCGCGGCGCGAGAACTTGGCCCCTGCCCAACAACGGAGCGATCGTTTTGTACTCCTGGTGACTATTATAGGGCGCCGTTCGTGGTGGGACCAGCAGCCATCATCCATAGCGGGTCCTTCAAAAATCCGGTTTGAACGCGTTTAAGTTGGTGTTACGTATTTCTCCCACCCTGCGCCGGTGCAATTGCGTACCGCAAGCGATTACAGTACACCCACGCCTAGTTCTACTGGCGTTGACATTTGTAACTGATGATCACAGGCGGGGCTCGTGATGAAAGGAAATGGGAAGACTAATCAATTCATAACTAGCACAGCTCCGAATATTGTACTGAGTTGAGCCATGCATTTCTCCTTTCAGATAGGTGACGGGTACCGAGAGATGCTCTACATATCGTTGGAACACCATGTGCGCGCCTGGAAACCACTCTAATTCCTCATGTCATTTACTTCTTAACATGCAAAATAGGGTAATGTGCTAGCGTATTTATAATGTTCCGCACTAGAACAATCATTGATGCCATTATGCATTGTACAGTGCAGTGAGGGACTCGAGGGGACGAAGTTTACTTGGTACCTGAGGGAAGAGAGAGTTCTAATTCGTGAGATAGTTTTCATCATGAACTGCTTAGTAGTTGCGTCTCACGGCCACCTTGTTTTCGAGTTGTTAGTTGATTTATTAGCACTTGTAGATATTTCCATAGACATAGAAATCTGATACGGAGGTATCCTTGTGAGGATGACTTGTGCTGAAAGTGAGAGCGCATACTTGTAGATGATAGGCCATGGGATATGTTCATTCTTTCTGTAAGAGATGCCGTAAAATGTAATTCAGTTCCATTGGAGATAATCCGCTTACAGGAGCGTTTGCGTTACTGTTGCGAATCAATTTCTTGAGGCGCTAGTGTACTCAAAAGGGGCATGCCCACGCTGACTGAGCCTTGGAGAAGAGGGTGAACTTTGAGGGTAATGAAAATGCTTACACATCCCCCTAGTCCTCAAGCCTAGTTCTAGGGGACCAGCAGGGGGAGGGGAGAATGTTGGCCTGGCGCTTTTATTCGCCAACTTTATGTGGGATTTTCTTCCCACTTTTGCTGGGTAGGAGAGTTTTTTGATCTGATGTCCACTACATGAGAACTCCGGCAAGAAGGAGAAACACCGACTGCAACGATCAATGATCGGCAGGCGCCAAAACAGAGAACTTAAACGCGTTCAAACCGGATTTTTGAAGGACCCGCTATGGATGAAGGCTGCTGGTCCCACCACGAACGGCGCCCTATAATAGTCACCAGGAGTACAAAACGATCGCTCCGTTGTCAAATAGATTGGAAATAAGAGAACCGATCGTCCTCGACGACGACCCCCCGAGACTGTGCCTTTAATATGTACGATGCCACTGTTTTTTGAGGAAAATCGAGTTGTGTTGCAAGTGAGTTTATACGTTTGAAACATTAGATATTTGTAAGTTTTCATCTGAAAACGTAAATCATTTTGTTTTCTGAAATAAGGAGGCTAATCATTTTCGAGCACGCTGAATTCAATAAAGTACATAAGAAGCATGGAATTACTTGGTGAACTCGTGTGCGGCGGGGCACCGCGTAGCGGGCGGATGTTCGTCTGCCCCAGGTTAGTACATTGGGGTATTTTGAACTGCCAATGGATTTCAAGTAGTAAGCTGTTCTGGGCTGGCTAAGCGTTGAAGGAGCAGACGACAGAGCGCCGCGCGGTAGCGGTGCCGAAAGGGTTCGCCCACTTACTGAGGAGTTATTTTCATGGTGGCTTTTACTTTGAACGCCTTATGTCGATCACGTAAGTTCCAAATGACGCGCATGGGGACATGGGCTTGGAGGCGAGAAGAGCGCCGCACTCGCGCGCGAGTTCACCTCGATAGTGAGCATGCTTTGGCAGGCAACAGTTTTAGGGACCCGAATTTACGAGGTAAAAACCGTTGATAATGTAGTTATAGCCCACAATTTGACCGGCAGTAAGGAAAAAACCAAAGAAAATTGCGGAATAAGGCTTTGAACAGGAACTCACCCTCTGCCTTTAACGATGAGAGAAGACGCGTGTCAGTGCGAGATTGTCCGGAACTCGCTCATTGCCGTCACGCCCTGAATGGTATTGTTTTTTTTTCGGCTATTACCTCTTGCAAGTTGGTGTGCAATCTTAGTTTCGATAACAGTTCGTGCTCACCTAAACTAATGCAGTGACATCCATTTGGGAGTGGGAGCTTCATCTGTGGGGAAGCTTGATTCGCTATAATGATGATTAGGCTAGCACCCATCTTACAAAATTTAAATTACAAACATAACAACATTAGAACACAAAAAGAAGCAATTCCATGCAACCGGCACATTGATTACTTTAAAGGACAGAGTTCAAATACCCCCTGTGGTCCCGAAACGAGCACGAATGCCTCCGTAGCCAATCACGGCTGGCAAGTGGGCGGTCCCGAAGAAATTTCCAACCACACCCATCTTTGAGGATTTTAACGCCCTTTTTGGGCTTTTCCCAGGTGAGTTTTCTTTATAACTTCACTTCAGATGTTTTCCAATAGGGCCTGCGTATACTTTAGTGCCATTAGTATTGAAAGAAGCAGACCCTGCTGGGACTGTTGCTTTAAGCACCGATCATACTAAAATCAAAAGAATTACCAACGGCACGGTTAATCCTGCTGATCACCATCCTACATGCTTCCCGCGGCATTCCAAATGTATTCGTTCGCGCGTACCATACGGTAGACAGCCCTCAACTGTGCAATTACAGATTCCTGCTCCACGTCTCCATCGGGGAGAAATTAGGCGTGAGGCTACGGTACTCGCTTGCGGTATGCAATCGCAGCCGCAAGGTACGAAAGTTTTGGCGCCGGTAATATCGAATTCGCTTTTCCGTAGTGGCTCTTTGCCTTGCGGTGGCTAGTTATTTTGCTCTGGATCTCCATTTTGGGGCTAGGGAACAAAGGAAAGTAGGAATCTGCACAAAACAAAGGCTGTATGTCCCGACGGCTCACTGCTTGGATTCACTCTTCAAAATGCATCCCTTTCAGTAAATGCGAACTTTTTCGTTAGAAGTATGTCTGGCGATTGTTTGATTGACTAGCGATCGACTGAGTTGTTGTAAATTGTTTCACAGTAGAGGTTTTGTAACGGTACTTTCCCCTTAATCGTACAGTTGTCTGATGTGATCACTTGCAACATATTTTGTCGTGCTGTTTGCTCATTATTCTTCTCGTCTTACTTGTGATGCTTCTTTCCAAAACCGTACTACGACCTGTTCTTTTTTCATTCAGCTATTTATGTAGTCAAGAAATTCATGGCATGACTCACCACTCGTCATCTGGCCAGGAGAAAGCAGAGCAACCTTCTGACGTAAATATTTTTGTCTGCTTCGTTGAACGAATATACTAAACTTTTCCCCAGCAGTGCAGCGTTCCTAGCTGACGACATTGCGTAGTACGGCGATTTAACGGAGTCTGCTACCAGGATTTGTTAAGTATAGACTCCTTGATATGTGGGTTCAGTGCAGATCGCCACATGGCCTTGCTTAATCTAGCCCGGGTGATACGTGTTTCGCGTATTTTTCTATGCTGTCTGGTATACTCGCAGCGAAAACATTCATGATGTACGTGTTCGTACTGTGCACCTGCAAATGTCTTCGCCGCGGTTCACTGGGACAGAAAGCTACTTTCGCGTTTCGCAGCGCGAAACATTTTCCGCTGCGGGAACCTCAGGTCCATCCGCTGATCATCAGTGGACCCGAGGTTCCCGCAGCGCAATCATCAGTGGACCCGAGATCCTCCAACGAACAATTTCGCCGCGAAGCGCGAAAAAGTTGCATTCTGTCCTAGTGAACCACACCCTGCACCACAGGGGGTTGGAAGGCTTCTGTCAACCGAAATTTCTCTCCCCAGTAGACGGTCTCCATTGGTGGGAGATGAGCGAGCGCGTTCATCGTCAAGGGCGGTGCCAACGGTGCATCGCGCAGATTTTAAAATTTTACGACTCTCGTTTAGGGGGGGGGGTTCCGACACGACCCCTTCTTCCCGACAATCACTTTCATCATCCTCCCACTACCACCATCATAGCTATTTTTATAACCGACACAATGTAACTCTGCCCACTTTTTTCCCCAAAATGTCTGTCGACCGGAAGGGTGAGGGGTGGTGGCAAATAGCGAAACGAAAAAATCCTGTGGAAATCTCCTAATTTTTCCTACTTACTGCTTCTTTCATATAGTTTTTTCCCAAATCGTTACAAAACCCATCAAGCATGACCCCCTATGCTACTGCCACGACTCCTTCAACTTCTAGTGATACGGCCCCATTTTTTCCACCTTTTAACCTTCGCCAACCCATAACACGATCCACCCCTTCCGAAAAAAACGACCTCTCGATGATGAACTGACAACACAACACTTCACCGTGGTCCTGGATGAGGATCGCTGTGATAGATACGCTTTTCCGCTTTTCGCAGCGCTAAACTTTTTTCGCTGTGGGAACGTCACGTCCAACACTCATCAGAAGTGGACCTGGACACGGAGCGGAAAATTTTTGTGCTGCTAGAAGCGCGAAAGTGGCTGTCTGTTCTTGCGAACACATGAACACACCTCAATTCATCGTTTTCAGAACTTTACCAGTAACGATGCTATCTCTCTGTCGAGTGATTGCAAAGGTGAACCACTGCAATCCATGCCACGAAGTGAACGACAAAGGGTTCTACTACGTCAGTTGCCTACTTTCATCTGCCGACTGTATAAACCTGATATACCTGGCATTTCAGGAATATTCCTCGACTGTTTTGAGGCCCTTCGCATTAAAGAGATTGAAGCAGCAAAACGGGATCTGGATAGGTGTCGGCGGGATAGAAATTCTGCTTTGGTTAGTTTTCTCTTCTCGCTTTCAATCGCGCGGACGGAGATCTGTTCGTTAGCAACTACCATCCACAGGAGTCCGTAATTATACATTTGATCAGCGTGCTCAGAATTAGAAAAGAGAAACGTGGTCTGCCGATACAACTAAATCTCTCATACGAGGATAATCCAAAATTTTGGTTTGATGCAATAGGAGGCTCAGTAAGAATTCTTGTGGGCTGATATGAGTTTTGGCAGAATTAGCCTCCATGTATGACCATGCTGTCTTTCATCCAACATTTTCTATACATTTGACCATGTAAATGTTGAAAGTACACTGCAATTATGGGTGGCGGTGATAGTCAATGAATCAAGCCCCGCATGGGGCGCATTCATAGTCGGCCGTCTGATCGTAGCGATCGCACCGCATCGAGTATGTATCGATTCTTCGATCGATACGTGCTACTCCGACCGATACGTACCAATTACTGTGCGATCGTTACGATCGGACGACCGACCATGAATGCGCTTATATTGCGACTGCATCACGTTGCAGTAGTGCAGGAAAAAATCGGATGTCTGTGATGTACTCGTGACCTGGCTATAGTGTAGCTCCCGTTTCATCCCATCCTCGTAAGCTTAAATCTACCCTGACTTCGACTTCACAACATTCCAACCCTTACACTGTAGGCTAGTTTCTTGTTTTATTTACTTGGGTTGGGTTGGAATTGGAGTAGGGATCAAGTGGTGCTACGGGCAGCTTAAGGTGGGATCTAATTAACATGTCTTGTACGAAGCACAGCGATCCCTCATTGCGCTTTCATGCTGCCTTAATGGTAGCATGACT